AATGTAGCTGTGGATTAAGCAGTAGAGTGTGAACTTTGACTAAGAAAAAACTCAGGGACAGTTTTCTCTGAAACTAAAAGAAAAAAAGAAACAAACTTGTAAACGCCAAGCCAAATATAATTAAGTATATTGTAAATTTGATAGTTCTTTTGTGGATTTCTATGTTTAATTATGACCAAAGGCATGGACTCTTTCTGTAATATGTACTACTCTTAATATGCAAAACATATTTTGCAAGTGTCATTTTAAACTGACTCAATCAGGCAGCAAAATGTGTTTTGTAAACTAGGCCATGTGATTAATTAGAAAGAAATCAAATTGTACAATTTAAACAATTACCACCAAGTTAATGCCTACAGCCCTATTTTTTCACTGATTATTTTTACCATGAGGACCATTTCCTGCACAAGCTCATGCCTGAGTCTTCTAGAGGCTTCCTATCACTGCATGATTCACAGGCAAGCTGCCACTGAGCCAAGCTTCCCTTCTGTTGTCAAACTTACATCTCAGCTGGCCTGGCACTGGGATTCTCCCAACCTTATATAGCTTGGAATGACATTGTAGCCAGTTGTGAATTGAGAAAGGGACTCAAACTTTTTTGCCACAAGCTGTCCTTGAACCATTATCTTCCCATTTGTAGCTTCCCAAATATCTAGCATTAAGAAACATAAACCACCAGCTCTGCATTTACATTCCATTAGAAATAGTATATGTTACCTTTTCAGATCATGAATATTTTGGAAGGATAGCTTATCTCTAAATGGTAAATAGTTATGAACATCATGATTAACTAAATACAAGTATTTCTTTTGTAAAGTAATGAGCAACACTAATGCAAAAATTAGGGGGGGGGGCTTTTTTTGGCGGGGGGGGGGGGGGGGGGGGGGAAGGGATCGATTGTGGGTCTTGAACTAAGGGCCTAGACAATATCCCTGAGTTCTTTTGTTAAAGGCAAGTGCTCTACTACTTTGAATAACAGTGCCACTTCTCGTTTTCTGGTGGTTAATTGGAGATAAAAGTCTCATGGATTTTCCTGCTTGGGTTGGCTTTCAACAGCAATCCTCACATCTCAGCCTCCTGAATACCTAGGATTACAGGAGTAGTCCATCAGTGCCAGCACTAAGAAGTTGTTTCTTTTTTTTAAATTTCAAACTCTTAGGAAAAATTAATTTTGCAAATGTAGAAAAAGAAAATGCATTTGCCTCAATAGTTCTTTGAGCCTACAAATATTACTTCCAAATGAATTCCCAATACTAAGTTTGCCTGGTACCTACAGGGCGCTAATAGACTGAACTTCAAAATGGCTTGACCAAGAAGCCCAGTAAAAACAAATTCTCTTGAAATGCAAATGAGAGTATGCAACACCTATCTTTATAACTAGGTAGCATGTAATTGGTATCATATTATTAACTTTTTCAAAGTACTGTGATGCTTAAACAAAGAAGATTTTCATTATGGTATTGCTGAAAATTATTGTTTTCATAAAGCTAATAAATTCCTATTATACAAAGCACTTTTGCCAAATGAAACTATTAATTTTATTAAAAATGTTTTGCTAGTGACTGAGCATTGTTACCCCCTCGTTTGTTTTCCCCCTACAACTGCTTTTTCTTTTTGATAGAGTATCACCACGTTGCACACTCTGAAGTCATTTTGTTTTTATATCTTTCTATATATATATATATATATATATATGTATATTCATATTCCTGACTTCTGTGAATTTTCCTGAACAGTATTTGAATTAAATACATTTCTTTCAACTTATTCAAAATATATGAAAGTACTTATAATTGAACTCGATTATAAAATACTTTCTATGCATTTGGCAGGACTTAAATAAACTGGTAATCTGCAATCATAACGATTTTCCTTTTGAAAATGGTTACAAATGAAATAGACTAATCAGCAATAAACAAACTTACAGTTAGATGAAAGTTAAACAAGAAACAGTATTTGAATTAAGGAGATGCTGCTTATCTTTTCCATTTCTATGACCAAAATCACTGCCATCAATGCCAAAATGGCAAGAATGAGCCCCTAAATTCCAAATAGTCTACAAAGAGTAGCAAATCCAGTCTGAATAACAGTTTTTTTGAAAACTAATCAAATGTAATTTTGAGGAGTCATAAACATGCTTATATTACAGTTTCCTATTATTATAAAACAAGTATGACAATATCATTTCTTTAAAGTATGTTTTTGTTTTTTAATAGACTGTTTCAATTTGCAATTAGGTTATATTTTCTTAACAGATGTTTATTTTTGAAAATCACAGAAACTTATTTCGTCTTTTAAATCATGCCCATGGGTAATTTTATTTTTTTAAATAAGTTTTTTTTTATTGTGAAAATACTGTACAGAGGGGTCACAGTTACATGAGCAAGGTAATGAGTACATTTCTTATCCAGCATTCTTGAAAATAATTCTAATAACCAATTTAAACTCTGGATCAGTAGTTGAATAACTAGGATATATACTAACCCATCAAAACAATAACATAATTAGAGACTTTGACGATTAGAACATATTTAGAATTTATAGAAAAAAGATGATCACATTTTTTCTAGCCTATGAAGTTTATGCTTTAAATTTTCTACAATGGTTTAGAAACCCCAATCCTAAACCAGAAGCCAATTTTAAAGTGGCGGGGGTGGAGGTGGGAATGCTCAGAATACCAACCCTAAAGCATTTCCTGATCCCACACCAATCACTTTTCAGGGTAGTGATAATTTGTCCTTTTAAATTCTTTGGTTGTTTTTGCTTATTATTCATAACATTGGGGTTTTCTCTCCTTCACTTTGATGTTAGAACTCAGGGCCTAGTGCCTGCTATGTCACTGCTCTAACACTGGAACTATTTCTCTGCACTTTTGCTTCTTTTTTAGTTGTTAGATAGGGTCTCTGGATTAAGCTGGTGTCTTATCCCAATTCTACTACCTCTGCCTTTCACATAAATGGGATTACAGGCATGAACCAACATACAAGCCCACAGTAGGCATCCTGTGTACAAAAGTCACATATGCTCTGTGAGCTCTTAGAATCTCTTAGTATGTTCTAGTTATCAGTTTCTCATATGGTGTAATATAATAACATGTAAATATTAAGATCTTAATATTTGTTGAATAAACAAGGAGACAAGAGGATATTGATGGGGTACTAATGATTAACTGTATGCATTAGATCCTATGCATATCATCAACTCAACAAAAGAAAATAATATTTGAAAGTCTAGTTCATGTGGTATTTGGGAAGATACTGTGCAAAAATAATGGGAAATATAGTAATTATAACTATTCTTTGTATTTTGTTGTTCAATGGCCATAATTCAGAAAAACATATTCTAAAAATGATGATGATAAGATATATTATAAAGATAATAAAAGGTGATAAATATTATAAGTATTTGTTCATTGATTCACAGGTTTTAAGAAATACTAGCACCCTGGCTGGGAAGGTGGCTCAGGGGTAGAGCGCTTGCCTTGCATGCATGAGACCCTGGGTTCGATTCCTCAGCATCACATAAGCAAAAAAGAAAAAAGCCGGAAGTAGTGCTGTGGTTCAAGTGGTGGAACGCTAGCCTTGACCTGAAGAGTTGAGGGGCAGCTCCCAGGCACAGAGTTCAGGCCCCACAACCGGACTCCCCCCAAAAAAATACTAGCACCCAGCAATCCCACTTTTGAGCATTTACCCAAATGTTCACAAACATGACCACACTAAAGCTACCAGCACGACTATGTTTATTGCAGCCTTATTTACCATAGCTAAGATATGGAACCAACCCAGATGCCCCTCAGTAGATGAATGGATCAAGAAAATGTGGTCTGTATACACAATGGAATTCTATGCCTCCATTAGAAAGAATGACATTGCCCCATTTATTAGGAAATGGAAAGACTTGGAAAAAAATTGTATTAAGTGAAGTAAGCCAGGTCCAAAGAAACATAGGTACCATGGTTTCCCTTATTTGCAATAACTAGTATATGTCTGAGTCAAGCAGAAAAGGTCAGATAAGGTGATGTTAAAGAAATGAACCCTAAGATATGTATTCAAATGTTTTTTTCTTTCAGGTGATTTTTTCCAACACATTTATAAGATTATTTCTTTGTTGCTTTGTATGTCCCTCCCCCACAGTATAACCCCTGCTTTCACTGTATTTGATGTGGGTATAATTTGTGGAAGGGAAGGAAAAAAACAAACTGTTTAAATAGGGATACAAGTGGACCCATTGCAACAATGAGATGTACAAGTCGTTATGTTGAAAACAAACTTTACAACTTTGGTGGGGGGGGAGGAGAATTGGGTGGGGGTTAGGGGAGGATGGGAAGGGATGGGAAGGGGAAACAAAGGAGGAGGCTACAATGCTTGAGAAGAAATGTACTCATTATCTTACCCATGTAATTGTAACCCTTCTGTACAGTATTTTCACAATAAAAAAAAAAGAAATACTAGCATTGTCTTCAGAAAACTAATGAAGTGAGTGACATGGATAATTATTATGCCCTTCATTTTACAGTGGAACAATCCCATGTGGGGGGTAAGTGTGTATCTAAGTGTGTTATCCAGCCAATCAGCCGTAAACCAAAATTGAGATGCAAGTCTGACTGACTATAAGTCCTGAATGGTGTATCAGACCTGACAAATGCCTATCAAACTCCAGAAGAGTGAATAGCCCTTGTTTCCCTCCAGGAGTGAGAATGGTTTTTGCACATTGTTGTATTCAGTCATCCATCTGGCCATGCCTCACACATAGTATGATTTCTACATAAGAAACTAGAATAAAATGGAAATTTGTGGCTAGATAATAAAACAAAAAAAAACAATAATGAAAAAATTTAAGAAAAAAAACTGGCAGGCCTAGTCAGAAACCAAACTCAAGAATTCTGCATAACTGAGTCAATGAGCTGTGTGTGCTAATGAATCATCAGTGGTATAGCTGACATTTTATCTTGGTTTAAATGTAATTAACACTTCTGTTCTCTTCAAAATAATGGTTCTTACCTTTATAACAGAGGCACCAGCTCTGGAAAGTGGACTGTGAATCTGGGCTGCAGCAGCCATGTTGGCAATAGTATTAAGATGGTTCATCTGATTCATTGCCATAGCAACTGATGCAGGAGGTAAGCTGACTGGAAGTAGAGGATGAGGCATCATCATAAATGGCAGATCCAGCCCTAAAAGAGACAGTGCACATTAAAGTTTGTATGCTATGATGCTCAGAAGTTGGTTTTTAAAAATTTATTCTTGTTGGTTTTTTAAAACATTGTCTTGTTTTATCCTAGTATCTCTTTGGGCCATGAATACTATCTATAGGATTTTATTTGTTTAATATTTTTTAAAATATTCCCACATTCACAAACTTTAACATGTAAGTATATTTTGGTATTCCTTTTCTCAAAATATTTATGAGATGCAACCTTTTTGCCTAAAAATTAAGCAAAAATATTTATGACAAACATTGACACTTAACAAATGACAATCAACTTCCTTTTTAAATCATTATACATACATATTTTGATCATTTCTAGCCTAATTTTTTTCAAAAGTCTAGTAGGGTGCTGGCAAGGCAAGATGATAGTTAACATATTTGGAAACTTTTTAACCTTTAGGTACAATATAGTTTTCACTAATTTGGAAGGTTTTGTCAGTAAAATTAATATTCCTTTGGCTGGGAAGGTATCTCAGTGGTAGAGTGCTTGCCTTGTGTGCATGAGGCCCTGGGTTCTATTCCTCAGCACTTCATAAGCAGAAAAAAGCCAGATGTGGCCCTGTGGCTCAAGTGGTAGAGCGCTAGCCTTGAGCTGAAGAGCTGAGGGACAGTGCCCAGGCTAAGATTTCAGGCTCATGACAGACAAAAAAATAAAAAATAAAAAAATAAAAAATTAACATTCTTATCAAAATACAAAACTGTTTACTATGTTAGAAACCAATATCAATATTGTCGAATTCTATATGTTTTCTTAGTTAAATTGAAATAATTTCCACATATTTTAAATATACCCAGAGATACGTTGTCATGTAAAAGATATCAAATCAAAGTCATCTTATATATTTATTCTTTATTAGGTACATGTTTGCTAGAGGAAATGCATTTAAGTATAGTCTAGAAAAACATAGTCTAATATTCTAGATACAAACATGGTTATAAATAACTCATAGCACTCCACAATATATTTTAAACTACTGCTCTATTTTGGACAGAAGCCCAGAAACTAGTAATCTTTAACAGATGTTTGAAAACATCTTTGTCTATAATTTTTCTAAATTATTACAGGCTATAGAAATTTTGTGATAGTCAACATTTATGTTGGCCCTACATGCAATCATCAACTATTAATAATATCTAATTTTCTTCCTTTTCATCTTTTTTAGCCTGTCATATCACAGCAGAAAGATACTGGAGGATTTATAGGAAGTGTTTTCAGAGGCTCCTTAAATCTCATTCCTCAGAACAACAGCTGAAGTAATATCATCATTCAAAACACTTATTTTTAGGACAAGAATTTTTCCCACTCTCTAGTTCTTTTATTCTCTTAACAGTATGTTTCATAGAAAAAAAACTTATTTTAAATGCAATGAGTTTTAATTGAGGCAAGAAGGAAGAATTGATGTTAATTTAAAAGTCCATTTCCTAATTGCAACAATGATAGTAGATTTCAAACTATAACGAAATGCATGGAGAATACTGTGATAGATATATCTATATAGCACACCTCCCATACTGCATGAATGTGATCATCCCCATTAAAGGAATTTCCAAGATATGTAAACTGTCCCCATTGTTTCTGACAGTCATAAAATGTACTATCACAAGTGGTTCATAAGGATCAAAGAAACTTAAATTCTGCATGGAACAGTAACATTTTCTTCTCTCTCTCTAACTCTATAGCCCATGGAAGATCAAGAAAATTCCCCTATCAGTGTACACTTATGTCTCCCCAACTCAAAATGGTTTTTAGAAGAAATCTTCTAAACCAAATGTATCAGCTAGAGGAAACTATTCCCAAATTAATAAGTTATCAGAGAAGTTTCCAATACATGGCTTACAATACAGAGTTCAAAATTTTCTTCCCAAGTGAAAAGAAGCCATTACTTGAATTACCCATTTCATTCAAGTTCTTCCTTTATCATCTATGAAGATGTTTGAAATCATTATCTCTAAGATCAATTTTTATTATGAAGTTGAAGAAATGACAAGCACTTACTTTAAATGATATTAACTTTTAACTCAATAATAAATAACTATATAAATGTCCACAGTACATCTACGTAATCACCTGCTATACTTCATTATCGTAACTTAACAAAGGCAATAGAAAGTTGTTGCCTGTTTACTTAGCGTATACCAGAAAGGGAAGTCTTCTTGTTATTTTTTTTAATGGAGAAAATGAGATTGATGAAATTGTTTTCACTAGGTCATCTGGTGACTTAAAGGTAAATGCATAGTTTGGATAAAGTAAGTGTAATGTCAAAGCTCTTATATTGATTCACTCTACTATTGGCTTAATTCCACAAAATCAGAGATAATTCTCTTATCACCTTTTGGGTACTCATAACCTGTGTGAACTTTCTGCTTTACTCCCTTATATCTTTGATCTGCATATGTTCTTGAATCTTACTTGCAGACTTACCCAAGCTTATTGTTCCCTCCCTTGGCTTTCTATCTTTGCCTTCTGAACACTCTTTAGTTTGGCCAGTTCTTCTCTCAACCAAGGGGAAAAATACTACGTTTTAAATTTCCTTGATATAGTTCTAATGATGCAAATACTGATATATTTAATGTGCTTTCTTCCAAGTCAGACATAGTCAAAAAAAATCCACCTTTATATTTTACATTGCCAGAACTGAATCTCGGTTGAAAGCTGAGATTCTTTTTGTTATATGTTTTGCATAAATTACCAAATCATAATTTCTGTATTTATGACTATAAACTGATATCATAATACATGTATGCATGTACATATTTATGTATATGTATGTGTATATGCTTATACATATATCTAACATATGCATCCCTCCTCATACTCATCATCCTGGGAGCCATTATGCTAAGTGGAATAAGCCAGGAACAAAAACAAAAAGAGAAACCCAATATAATCAATTATATACAGAACTCACTCTCTTTTCAAATAGTTTGTTCTCAGCCAGGTAAATTTACTTAGATGAACATGTTTGTTTATATGTTTTACACATCATACAGCTTATAGTATCATGATAAAGTTATTTCAGCACACATAGTAAACATGGTTTATCTTTCTTCTAAATCCTTCACATTATGCTCAGTATAAATACAATTATCCAAATACGTTTCTGCATAACACTCTTATTTATCTCAAACCTAAAATAATTTTAGACTTCTTCTTTACATATCCAGGATTACAGTCACAGATTGATCAAACTATAGATGGAAGGTGGCCATCAGTGTCAAGGTTGCCATTCAAATGTTTAAATAAGTCTGTTATTCACACTTCCATTCACAATTTAATAATATTTCCTCATTCACCAAACATTTTCTGAGACACACAGACACCATCTGGTCATATCAAGAGATATATTTACTTAGAGACCAATTGACATGCAAACCAAATACTAACTACAAACAAAATTTAACAGTCCAATTACAGTTTAAAAATATAATCCATTTGGCATTTCAAATATCCACAAAGAACATTCAAGTCACAATTTTGAATCATGATCTGCAATAACACCATCAATTGACTATAAGGTTCAAGATGCCAAGCTAATATTTATATTACAAGCCTGTTTAACAATGACTTTGCATGAGTACTTCATATAAAGCATATACTAATTGCAACTATATTAACTGAAATATGGGGGATTCAGTGGAGAACTCAAAAGCTGTAGTTCTTTAGAAGGGTTAATTTACAGGCTAACAAAATAAAAACCAGGAAACACGTACTTAAAAGGGGAGGGAGTAGATGAATAAAGAGAGTAAGATGGAGAGAATGCAGTCATAAACTTTAAAACATTCTACAAAACTAAGAAAATTGGGAGAAGGGATGGGTTGGGTTCGACTGATAATGTCAAACAGGTGACATAGACAAAGATGCGTTGTATTCACATATGACTGCTAAATGTCAACTCCTTTGTACAACTGCTTAAATATAAATACATATTAAAATGAATAGTAAATTATACAAATCAAGCATTCCTTAAAGCTGAAGACACTGAATTAAAATCTATCAATAGTACACACACCCCAGTAATCTGGCTCACTTATTCATATGTCAGATGTGTACTAGACTTTTAATAGTTTGCTAATAGTGACAAATCTTTTTATAAAAAGTTATCTAAAATGGGTCATTTCATTCAATTTAACCCCAAGGACATTTTATAAGTTAGTATGAACTATTATATAAGTTAGTATTCTAACTATTCCTATCATTTCATGTGAAGACATAAAACCAGCTCCTCCTAGCCATTAAAAGTATAAAATCAGTAATTCTCTAATTATCTTTCTATATTCTACTTTGATTTGACTTGGTTGTTGACCTCCAAAATGTCTTTACATTTCTGTAGAGATACTAGGCATCATAACTTTCAATAGCACCACCCTGTCTTCCTCAACATTCTTCCTGTGGCTTTTTGTTTACCCATGCTGTCCATTTTTAAGATGTCTATTGTCTACTTCCTTTTATTAGAATAAAATACAAGTTTTTTGATCTCACACAAAATTACTTTTATCATTATCTCATTATACCCCTCTTATGTATGTCCACATGTGATCCCCATAGGATTATTCACAGTTCTTTACAGTTTTAATTCATTTTTATCATTCCTTTAAGGCAATATCTTTCTGTAGTGGCTAAATCTCTATGTTTATTTTCCTATGGTAAAAGTTCTTTTCTTTTTACAAATTAACAGAAGAAACTCCACTGGGCAGTTAAACAACTGCTCTGCTTTCAGTGTATTAGATTAGTATGGTACATTAATTATAATTGACAAAGATTGATAAATGTTTATTGATCAGAGCCCATAGTTTTTTTTTATTTCTATTGTACACATCTTCAGGTTTATGTAAGCATGCAATATTATCAGATACCATATTATGCAGAATAATTCCACTAATTAAAAATCATTTGCGTTTTACCTATTAATCCATGTATTTTCCATAATCTCTGTCAACTACTCATCTTTTTATTTTGTTTCAGCCTTAGGGTTTGAACTCAGGACCTGAGCAATCTTCCTCAGCTTTTCTGCTAAAGGCTAGTATTCTACCACTTGCGCCACATTTCAATTGTTGGTCTTATGGTTATGGTGTTAATTGGAGGTAAGAGTCTCACAGACCTTCCTGGCTAGGCTGGCTTTTAATTGTGTTCCTCTGATCTCAGCCTTCTGAGTAGCTAAGATTACAGGTGTAAGCCATTGGTACCAGCCACTGGGACTCATCTTTTAACTATCTCTTTACATTTGTCTTTTCTTGAATGTCCTAACTTGGAATCAAACACTATTTTGCATTTTGAAGTAGGCTCTTTTCTTTTTCTTTTTGTTCTTTTTTTTTAAAAAATAATTTATTATTTTACTGTAAAGATGCTGTACAGAGAGGTTAGTTATATGAGGAAGGGAATGAGTATATTTCTTGTCGATTATTGTTCCCCCCAACTTTGTTTTTCTCTAGGATTTGAATTCAGGGCTTTGTGATTGCTAGGCAGTTGCTCTCCTACTGAGCCATGCCTATCAACTTTCTCTTCTGGTTATTTTGAGAAAGAAAATTTGCTTTTTGCCTATGCCAAAATGGACCATGATCTTACTTTTCATTATTCCTTACCATAGCTGAGATGACAGATGTATATCACCAAACTAAGCAATTTCTGTTGAGATGTGATCTCGTAAACTTTTTTTTTGCCAAGGTTGGCATGGAAGCAAAATCTTCTGAATCTTAAACTCCCAAATTGCTGAGATGAAAGGTGTAAAGCATTATACTCCACAAATGGTTGGTGTAAGGTATTGTGAGCTTTTTGCTTAGTCTGGTCTCAAAATGTGAACCTTCTGATCTCTGCCTTCCAAATAGCTAGAATTACAGGTGTAAGCCACCAATACTCTGCTACATTGATTTTTTAAACTTAAAAATTTACATTTGTTTTCTTTTCTTTTTTTCTGGTATGGGAGTTTGTACCCAAGGACTTAAACTAGGCTGGCATGTTACCCCTGAAGCTGTGACTCCAGTCTTGTTTTTTGATTTTTGTTATTTTTTAAATTTAGGTACTTACTTTTCTTTTTTTATTTTTAATAAATTTTTATTGTAAAAATACTGTACAGACTGATTACAGTTACATTTCTTATCAAGCATTGTTGCTTTTTGTTATTTTTGAGATGGAATCTCATGGACTTTTCTGCCCAGGCTGCCCTCAGAGCAGTCTCATTCTCTTAAGTATATAGAATCGCATCTGTGAGACAATCCTGCCTGGATAAAATGGGACTATTATCTGTTAATCTTCTTCATACTTCAGACCAGAAACTAGAAATCCTCTAAGTCACCCACTCTGCCACAGTTCTAACTCTGACATTCTTATAATGGAAGGATTTATAAAATTAAGGGCATTAGTTTTATTTTTAGATATTGTGCCCTTCAGTTTATAACTTCTTTAATATGACATCAAGCTTATGAATTTTACTACTATTTAGGATGTAATATGGAAATGATTTTATTAATTGTTCTGCTTCTTTAACCCTACAGTTCAAAGAAGAATGGGTATATTCGTAGAAGAAGCAATGAATCTTTTCAAGTAGCTTCCTGTTTGGAACAAAAGTAGAATTTTATCCAGGCAGTATACAAAAGACTTATTTTGATACAAAAAGATTTCTGAGTCTTTCAGGTCACAAAAAATATTACCTAAATCTGAATTTGTATAAATTAGCTCTACTTAGGTGACTAAGCAATCATAATGTTTATGATTGTTTGGACTTCAGGCAATTCACCATTAACAACTTTTTATCATTTTTATTGCTCACAGTAACCTTGAGTTCATGTATTTTTATCCTTATTTTTATAAGTTGTAGAAATAAAGAGTTAGAAAGGTTAAGTGGATTTACAAAATCCAACAGTGATGAACAATTCAACCCCAAGTTTGTGGGAATACAGCCAAAATTTTTAACTACTCTGCTATATTGTCCACCCAGACCTTGCCAGCTACCTCCATTCTGTGACTCTTGTACTTTGAAATGAGTCCCTCTTTACCTCCCCTTATGATTTCAAATCATTAAACCATATTGAAGGAAAACAAACCAATCTGTGTTAGCCAAGGGATCTAGTGGGTCTTGGCTTAGATTTTTCTCAAATCATATATTTTGGAAACAAGTGTACATACGATTGGTTAGCAGGTGGTTCTGCTGCAGTGGATTAAGGGTGGGAGTTCCTGCAAGGCCTGGCTGGCCAGCCAGTGTTGCATGAGCAATTCCATGTTGAGGTCCAGGAGGAGCAAGAGCAGACTGCATCTTATCCTTATCCCAGGAAGATTCACTTCCACCTGAAAATGCAGACATATGAACATATTTCAATTTGAGAATTTTCCTCAAGAATTTCTTTTTCAATTTGTTTTTTACAATTGTAATCATTAATATTTCCTTGAAAACAATTAATATGATTGAATATTGGTGAACTGAAAGCTTTCTGGGGATTTTAGCAACCTCTCAAAAGACTGAAACTATTCTCACCAATAATGTAGGTCCACTAGCCATACTGGTTGTCTCACCAAATGTTGAATCAGAATGAATAACGCTTAGAAGCATATATGACCACTACTGCCTCCCATATCAAACTTTTAATACTCATATGCTTAAAAAACACACTTATAAAAGCATAGGAACATGCAAAAATTTATAGTAGGAATCAGAATTCTCATTCTTGCAGATTCAGCTCTCAAAGAAACAGTTTCATTATAGCAGAAGTTTGTAAATTCATTTTGCCAAAATATGAAACCTTGGTTTCTAATTTTGAAAGTATATTTTCCTTGGATAACCCACACTGCAAAGCACAGAAAAATGTACATAAAGGCAAACTACTATATTTTCTTACTCCACAGCGGCATTGCTATTTTTTTTGGCGACTAGGGTACTGTGTGGGCAGACTATTTCTTAAAACCATCTAGGAAGCAGATACCGAATGATATCTACTACATTCTTTTAAAGAAAATACTTTAAACAAAAGGCTAAATGGTTAAATTGCCATCACTGCAGTAACAGCCTGTCTATGTTTAGAGAACAGAATGTTTTTGTAGGCAGCTCTGTCTGTGTCCTTGATGTGCTCCATTCATTCAAAGGTTAGTGCTTCTGCCCTGTTTCCCATGCTGATATTGTGACATTAGCATCTCCACCTGGATGATAGAATCCATCTGCTGCCTCAAATACTGGCCTTTTTATGTATGGAGTTTAGAATTGGCCCCTGGGTTATGCTATAAATTATATGCATTTACTGTTTAAAAAATGATAGAAAATCAACATCGCCCTATTTTCAACGTTCGATATAATAGTTAATTTTACATCTTTTATTACCTTCCAGGTTTTGTTCAGATGAGTGCCTCTTATTACAAAGTAAACACTGTTACATAGCTTTAGGAATCATATTTATAAAATGTAATAACTACATGCAAGTCTATTTAATTTATGTACTATATTAAATATTGGACTTAAATTTTTCTTTCAAATTTATCACTATTATAAAATTATGTTGTAACAAAAGACCATTGTAAATTATTTCATTACAATCAATTAATTCCCTGGAGTGGGAATTGAGAACTTAACAAAATCTTTCTTTTTTTTTTTTTTGGATACATATCTTTCCTGAGTCCATACATTTTTTGATGGGTACCATATCTGGGTATATATCTTAGATACTGTGAATAGTATCACAAAACTTATTGAAATTTACAGGTATCTCTTTGCTATGTTGACTTGATTTCCTTTAGATATATATCCAGGAGTGAGATAGTTGGATTATATGGTAGTTCAGTATTGAGTTTTTAAAATAATCTCCCAATTGTTCTGCATAGTAACTATATAAATTTACATTAAAAGTTAGCACTTCAACTCAGGTTGTTCTAAAATATCTAATAATAGAATGCTTACTACAGTCAGTTGTTTGAATAGTGATGGTTTTATGTCATTATGATCCATTTTGAACATATTAACCTAAGCCTACAAGCCAGTACACCAAAATAATTCAAGTGGATGTGAAGAAACCCAACAGTGAGAGGAATTGTACTCATTTCTTTACTTACATAACTGTAATCCTTTCGTACATCACCTTTACAATAAAAAGAAACCCAACAGTAATACTCTAAACACAAAAAAATGATTCTTAACCTCAGATCTCTCATATTGTCTCTACATATTAATTGTGCATTGCTTATAAAAATCATCAAGGAAAGGAATAAAATATTCACTGAAATAACAATAAAAGGATAATTTAGTAAACCAGTTACTATTTTCTATTCATAGTGAGCTGTGAAAGTTTTTATAAATCCAGAAAATACAATACTTGTGGGGTTGAGTTTCTAAGACTATTAGTCTTAAGTGGATTATCTGCAAGGATTTCATACTTTGAGATCTCCGTTTCATAAACTAAATTTGGATATGTCTTTTGAAATTGGAGAGCAACAACAAAGCAAAAAAGCTATTAGAATTTGGAATGCACACTTTTAATGGCTACTTCCTAAGAAAATATATAAGATAGCACATTTAAAAGAATGGACTTAAATATTTTTAAAAAGTTATAAAAATAACATGTATTTACTTTTTGAGTTTTGTAGCAACAACCAAACAAGTAAGTCATATTATTTGAAAAGATAAATTGGAAATGATTTTTTCAGTAATTCTTATATACACAAAGCAAAGAACAAGCAGCCAAATTGCAAGCAATTTATGCAGCATATGGCGAAAATCAAGCTTCTCTTAGTCATACAATACTTTGTTTAGTTAGAATCTTGGATGAATGCACATTGTTTCATAAGTTTAAACACCACTTAGCCTTTTGGAGTAAAATATGCTTTAAGTCATAATAGTATTACATTAACTGAAGGTTTTTTCCTGTACAAGTAATACTGTATCTACAGTGTTAAGCAGTGTATAAACACACACACACACACACACACACACACACACACACACACAGATATACGAGGGAGAGAGAGACAGAGACAGAGACAGAGAGACAGACAGAAACACAGGAAGAGAGAGAGAGAAGAATCCAGGATTAAGCATGTTACATTTCTTTTTGAACAATGTCACCCTTTCCCTCACTTTTTCCCAGATTTTCCCTCCTGTGCCTTCATTCAAGTTGTATAGGTCATTTTCAACATAGTGTCTAAGTGAGTATCACTGCTGCATTTGTTCAACCTGGGTCCCATCCATTCTGTCCTCCCACGCCCCACAACCACCACTATCCCAAAGAGAGATAACCAAACAAGAAGAAAGAGAAAGAAAATGGAAAACAGCAACAAAGACAAAACTTCTTGTTTCATTTCCTGGAGTTCATTTTGATACATATTATGCTACATGATCAGATGCACATAAGTATTGTGCCTTTTGTGTTTCTCTCCTAAGAATATCCTCCTTTGGTCTCACCATTATTTTAGATCTGAATAAACACCACTGAATGTAAAATTTAAAAAATGTTAATATATGAATGGAAAACTACATGAATATTCAGGGATTCTATAATCTATAAATTGTCATATTTTATTTTCTTTTTTTTTGTCAGCATGGGGCCTGAACTCTAACTGGGCACTGTCCCTTAACTCTTCAGCTCAAGGCTAGCGCTCTGCTACTTGAGCCACAATGCCACTTCTGGCTTTTTCTGCTTATGTGGTACTGAGGACTCGAACCCAGGGCCTCATGTATTCAAGGCAAGTAGTCTACCACTGAGCCACTTTCCCAGATCCTTCATTTGTTTTTTTTAAAATAGGTATTCAATAGATAGAATATTTCACATTGTTTCAGCTTGGTCCAGGGAAGTACTGCAATATATATGCTATATCTAGAATTCAAGTTGTTGTTCATATAAGAAAAAACTTGATAGCAATTATTCTCCTAAAATGTCAAGTTCTACTAACCAGTTTGTTTAATTTTTGCACCGAAATTTTGCACAGGAACAGCCACATTCTGGGATGATGGACCCAGAGTTTCAAGTTTAATTAGAAGTACAACAATAGTTCTTTGATGGTCCTCTGGGGAGGCAATTGTCAATAAAGAAGTCACATGTCACATATGATTATTTAAATTTAAACTTAAAATTACTATTGAAAAGAATAAAAGTTATATGACTCAGTTGTATTAGTTAAAATTAATACTCAAAATTCTTCTAGCTGGTGGCTACTGCTGGGGGAAATGCATATTTCTAATACTTCCTTTCAGGAAACTGTATCCAACAATTCCAGAGTACAAGTAGTTATGGGTGGCTTTGTGTAAAATAGTACAGCATCTTCACTTTAATTGTAATTCAATGAACAATATTATGAGCTTTTCTTCCATATTTTAGGCATCATTGTTTCAACTGGTAATTGCTAAATTTTCAATATCTCTCTGGTGTTAATCTCACATATTGAAAATGCACAGATAAAATGGGGGTGCATGAATGGAAGGAGGAAGAGTGAACAAATGCACTCATATTCAATGAATATTATGTAAAAAATTGAATTACATAGTGAGAGTAGGGGGCAGGATGGATAAAGATAGAGAAAAACAATGGAATGGGTGACATTGATCAAGGTGCATTGTCTTCATAGCCTGACTTCTGAAATTCAAACTACTTCATATACTAACAATAAAATTAAATAAATATTAGGAAAAGATCATATCTACATTGAGATACTATCTATATTAAGCTACAAGCTCTGCCTTCATTACTTCCCCCAGTCTAATATGTATCATTGCCACCTCTGTACCTTTCAGCCCTGGCTGAACTTGGAATTGACTTTTCCTTCCTATTCACACTGTGACTGTGCTCACCTACACTCTTATGACTCTCACACTCAACTCTAGAGGCCTTGCCCTGATTTTTTTTTCTTGGTCCGGTCGTGGGGCCTGAACTCCGGGCCTGGGCGCTGTCCCTCAGCTCTTCAGCTCAAGGCTAGCGCTCTACCACTTGAGCCACAGTACCACTTCCGGCTTTTTTCTTTTTGCTTATGTGGTGCTGAGGAATTGAACCCAGGGCCTCATGCATGCAGGGCAAGCGCTCTACCACTGAGCCATCTTCCCAGCCCCCTTGCCCTGATTTGTTTTTTATTTTTTATTGTGAACATACTGTACAGAGGGGTTACAATTACATGGGCAAGATAATAAGTCCATTTCTTATCAAGCATTGCAGCCTCCTCCTTTGTTTACCCTTCACATCCCTTCCCAGCCTCCCCCCTCACCTAATCCTCCCCCCCCACCAAAGTTGTAAAGTTCGTTTTCGATATGACAACTTGTACTTCTCATTGTTGCAACAGGTCCACCTGTATCCTTATTTAAATGACTTATTTTTCCCCTT